TTCACTGCAATATGGCAGCAGCACATCTGCATGACATCATTGTCTGGGGACAACTATGCCCTTCATTTCTGAGGCATGGGATGGGGCAGACATATGATGACTGGAGACCTCTGTTGTGCAAGAAGGGGGAATGGGTGTTCCCCAAAGGGTCTCCAGTTAGTCTGTGGCTGTCGAAACTCCAGACCACCTGTGACCAATGGGAGCAAGTACAATCGGTACTCAAGGATATGCAGTTTACATTTATATTAAAGACGTTTACTGAAGACTGTTATGAACTGAACTGTGTCACTGCCTGCCACATACCAAATTCACATGTTGAAGCCCTAACCTTCAAAATAACTACATTTGGAGATTCTTTAAGGAGATAAGATTAAAGGTGGTCACGTTTGGTTCCTAATCCATGTGAGTATATTTGGGTTGTTTTGTTTTGTTTTGTTCTTTTTGAGACAGGATCTCACTATAAGTCCAAACTGGCATTGAACTCACTTTGTAGCACAAGCTGGCCTTGAACTCACAGAGATCCTCCTGCCTCAGCTTCCCAAGTACTGTGATTACAGGCGTGCACCGCCACATCCGGCTTTGTGAGTGTATTTGATGATATTGCCTTCCAAAAAGTGATAGATAGACTCTAATCCAATTAGATATGTGTCCTTTAAACAAAAGAAAGAGACAATGGGGATGTGTGACACAGAGCAAAGAGCACACAAAAGCAGGGAGAGAGATTGCAGGAGAAACCAAACCTGCAGCACCTTGATCCTGGGCTTCTGTCCTCCAGAACTGTGAGAAGGAAATTTCCATTGTCTCAGCCACTCAAAGTGTGATAATCTGCCATGGTACCACAAGCAGACTGAGACTTCAGTTCATACAGAAATAGATTAGAGATCAGTTCCAACTTCATATAGGCCCAACCACCTCTTCTTTTTTTTTTTTTTTTTTTTTTTTTTTTTGACAACTAGACTTCAGGATGTTTGAAACTCTTCAGCTGTTCTCTCAAATTCAATCATTCAAAACCCAGTCCTTTATCCCCACCCTGACCATGGCTCAAAGCAGCTCCCACCAGGCTTTCCAATCACAAGTAAGCCTCTCACTGCTTCCAACCCCTCCTCACCTGTCCCTCCTTCTCCCTGTCCCTTCTCGTTTGTCCCTCTTCTCTTCCCACCACCGACTTATTTTAATACTTCTCACCACTCCCTCACTTTTAGCATCTTCTTGGAGGGATTTCTACCTCCTGGCTCCCTCCACTCTTCATCCACAGGATGAGACTGTAACGAGAATCTCCTGACCCCCATTAGTGTGTGGCGGTGCAGGGGCCGGGACTCTGACAAGGAGATGAGACTCAGGCCACTGGAGGCCACAGGCCTGGGAAGGGAACTCTAGGCAGAGCAGTCTCTCAGCCCTCATGTCCAGAAGATTCCAGGCACATGCTCAGTGTTCCACCAATCTTACTGAATATATGACTTGGTTCCAGGTCTGCATTACCTCCTCCCCAGGCATTTCTTTTTCATGATAAACGCCCATGTCAAGCAGTGGTGAGTAAGAAATGATGAGGAAGAGAGATATCTGTAGGGAGGAGGGATATGGCACAAAAATTTCCTGTGTGTTACAGCCTGTGTTCACTCCAGGTTGAGTGGGCACGCTGGGATGGTCCCCAGGCTGCGGTGTGACCAGTGATCTAGAGCTTCTCCATGTCTGGGGCTTAGAGAAGATGTGGGCTTCTCATTTCTTCTTCAAGACTGTTCAGAGAAGTAGATACAGTTATCTCCATTTTTAGAGATGAGTACCAAGGTTCAGCAGGCTGGTCAGATAGCATAGCTGTCTGCGATTTCTTTCCCAGTAGATGGGTTAGGATAATATCCTGGCTTCTGTCTGCCTCCAAAGGATTGGGCTGGTTTTCTCTGTTTGTGACCTGCCAGCCTGCAGGGAGCTCACCATCTACTCCCCTCTGTGCCATAATTGTAGAGGGGGTTCTTGGCCTGTTTGGTGTGGGGAGTCACAGGGTGCAGTGATGCCTATAACTGTGTGCAGGGAGGCCTCCAGTTTTGGAGCTTGGAATAAGAAAAACCACTGTGATGTACACACACACACACACACACACACACACACACACACACACACACATATGCCTAGTGGTGTCTTTCAAATGAGCTTTTTCAGTAACAAAGCTGGCACTTTGGGTTCTGTCTTCCTGATCCAGTGTATATTTACTAACTGGATTTAACTAGTAAACACAGAGCACTAATGGAGTCCTGTCCAGTACCAGCTGGAGTCTACCCACAGGTCTAACTATGGTTTCCCACCTCTTTTCACTCCACTCCTCTCAAGAATCTACCAGGAGTGGGGGCAGGTCTGGCTTAAGGGGAAGAATCTGGACAGTTCTGCAAAAGCTTATGATTCTGATGGTTCAAGATCTGGGGTGTGGAGGTGCAACTGGGTACCGGAAATAGGAAGAAACAAGCACCAGCAATCAGGATGTTGAGACCTCAAGGGTGTGTTGTCCACATGGACATTGCGGAGACCCAAGAATTGGCAGAAGAGCATGAGGCAGAGAGAAGGCTGTAGCCACTGTGCCAAAGTCCTCTGGGAAGGTGAGAAGCAACCGGGATGCCCGCAGAAGGTGATAACAAGCCACCAAGGAGACATCTAAGCCATGGGGAATGGGAGAGTTCGGCAGAATAGCCTTCTAGTTAAGGGCATAGGATTGGGGCTTTAACAAACATGAACTCAATGCCAGGTCTGCTACTTTGAATTTGTGAGACTTGAGCAAAGTTATACAGCCTTGTGGTCCTTGGTTTTCTTGTCTACAAAAATAAGCAAACGAACAACCAGAGTTTCTGTGAGGACAGAGAGGTGATGTGCAGTGTGGGAATCACAGTCATGACACATGATCAGGTCTGTTCTGCCTGGAATGTCCTTAATTCTGCATCCACTGAAAGCCCTACTCTTCTCCCTGGGGAACCCACAAAGCAGTTACTCAGATCACCTCCTGCAGATGCTACTACTCCCCGTTATAGTGCTTTCTGGATGTGTCTCTTACTCCTGCTAGATTAACCAATTGATGGGGAGAGGAGTAATGGCAAACTTGTCAACTTCAACCAAAGGACCAATGAATATTTGCTCCTAATCCTTTTCAACACTATTCACAATTAAAATTAAAATTTTTAGGAGTTCCTGTAATTGATCAGAAATCACAAGGAGTTTTAGGAATGCTGACATAAACTTTTGCAGCTAGATACTGTAAATACAAAGCCTAAGAACTCGATGAGACAGATTATGAAATCACACCCTCAAATTCTAGCATTCTGTAGTTCTTCCTGGCTGAATAATTTAATGTGAAAGAGTCAAGTCAAACATAACTTTAAATGACAGCAAGAATAAGTTCTAAAATCAGTCAGCACATTACAGCCTAGTGCATGTGTCTCATTCTAAGCCAGTGCTCTATTTCATTTTTCAGTGTAATTGAAGCCATTTAGAAATCTCAACTTGCTTCAGCCAAAGATGTTGTAGAATTTTATTCTGGGTTAAGAGAATATGCAAGAGTGCATTCAAAGATAAGTCAGATCATTATTAAAATCTTCATAATAAGTTGCATGGCTGCTTAAGGCAACTCTTTCCCCCTTTCATACCTCAAAGAGGAACGAACTGCTGGTCCAACACAGTTGAATCACACACACAGTATATTGAACACAACACAGTAAATGTCCCATGATTTTATAGATATGAAAATTCCAGATAAAGCAAAACTGATCTACAGAAGTAGAAAGTGCTCATTTTCTGGGGGCTGTGAAATGATCACAGGGGAGCTCATGGAACTTCCTGAGATGATGGAAATGACCTGTATCTCATCAGCAGTATAGGAGACCCGGTGTATTTGTCAAGACTCATCATTCTAAAAATAAAAATTGTAAAATCCTACTTTCAGTCAGGTTCCTCAACTGATTCTCTAGGTTGTGAGGTAGCGGTAAGGACGCGCACAGTGTTCGGCTGGAGGAGGCCACGACAAATGAAGAGGTAAATGTTTTGAGGAAAAATAACAACAAAACGAAGAGTTTTTTCTGAGGCTGGACTTCTCCTTCCTCTTTCTCTTACGTTGTATCATCTCGCTGGTGTGAAAAACAGAAAAGATGGAAGAAACAAGCCAGGAGAGTAGATACAGTCTTCCCCTGTTCAGTTCATGTACATGGTCTTTCCTGATCCATGGCAAGCCCTGGCCGGAGGGAGGGCTTTTGTGAGTGCTTTGGGAACAAAATTGGATGGAGGCCCCATAAGTTCAGGAGCTGGGAATAAATCACAGCATTCTAGAGCTCAACAAACACTGAAGAGTAGTTATGGGAGTAGTAATTGGGAACAGCGGAAAATTAGAAAGTTAAATTATAACTTCTTTTCCGTGGGTGAGTCTTAAGATTTTTTTCTACCCATAAATTATCTAGTTAAATAGAATAATTCTAGCTTTGCCAAACTTTGTATTTGTTGTTTTAGCAATGTTTTGTTATGATTTCAAAAAAACCATATTCATTCATGGGAAAATCATCTAGACCTGTGCCTAGAAAGAGGTCCGTTTGACCAGGAGTGTTTTTGCCCCCCTGGCCACCAGGAGTTGCTGACCCCCCTGAGTGTCTCAGGGAGGTGGGCTTCAGGAAGACAACCTGGCAAGTCTTAGCCAGAAAACACAGTCATCAACAGAAAACACCTTCAGGCTTTTGAGGAGGTCTGTGTTCTGAGATCCCAGTGTACCTCTTTGTCTCTCATTGTAGGAGCAAGGAAACTAGTCTGCATCTCCCCGAAAACTGCCATCCTAAAATTTAGCCCCTGGAACCACAGCGCTGTCTTTTTATATATTCCTCTATCCACGATTTCAACTCAAGCTTTAGTTGTGAGGCTTGCCTCCACTTCCCTGGGCCAATCTTTGCTGTGTTGGCCTCTAACATCCTGGTACATGCATCTCCTTGACTAGTTCATCCCCAGGACTCCCTAATTCTTCACTTTTCTCACAGGGTACTCACCTGCCTCTTCTGCACTCCCGGCAAAGGGGCCTGAGGCCCCATGCCTTTTCCTTGCTTCAGGAAGGAAAGAGACCTTCTGTTAAACAGCGTCCATTCTCCAAAGAGATTTCACCTTAGTAGCTAACATAAACATAAACACGGAAGGTGAGATGTCTGTGGTCCTGGAACCCAAATATCCTGATTAAAGACAAAAAGCACCACTGTTTGAGTGTAACCAGGGCCTTTGCCCCCTCTCTCCCTGCCATCCAGACCCAAGAGAGTGTGTGCATGTCTTTCCCTCGAGAATTCCCCCTGCGGACCAAGGGATGGAGGGAAGGGGCAGAGAGGAGAGGGGAAGGGGACAAAAAAGGAGATGTGTTATGTACAGACACCAATTCCTCACAAGGAAAAGAATCATTATGTACCGTGAACATGTGCCAATAAAGAACAATAAAATAAAATTAAAAAAGAAGTCCCACTGTGAACTGAAACACAGGGCAGTTTCCCTCCCACTCTCAAGGATCACGGGACATTTGGGCTTGGAACAGCACTCAAGTCCCCATCCCACTCAAAAGGGAGATGCTACGCCTAGATTTTCTTTCAAAATAACCCCAGAAAACCTCCCTTTACTAAATTCAGAAAGTTATTCTGATTCCCAGTTCTATGCTGGTGGTCTCGCACTGCAAAGCATATGTAATCATTTCCTTTCCCCCAGTTTCTGATTTCCACATTGTATTGCTCAAAAGGAAAATATATTTTTAAAAGCAGCTATGCATGGTATTAGGCATGATAGCCCTCAGATCTGAGGAACAGATACGCATTCTGAGTCATGGTCATCTGGAAAACAATATTAAGATGCTTCTTCCTTTAAAAATAAGAAAGCAACACTCTGGGAGGCTGAGGAAGGAGGATAAGAAATTCACACCCAATCCGGACACTTTAGCCACTTAGTGAGACCCTGTCTCGAAATAAAAACTACTGAGGATATAGCTCAGTGTAAAGGCCCTGGGTTCAATCCCCAGGACGGACAAAGACAATCATCAAATATTCTCCCTACTCTATTGAGTGACACATAAAATATAATCTTAAATAGCTGCATTTGCAAAACAGAGAGCAGAGTGGGCTGGGGATTTAGCTCAGCGGCAAAAGTGCCTGCCTGGCATGCGCAAGGTCATGAGTTCGGTTCCCGGTACCAGAGAAAAACCAAAAACCAAAAAAAAAAAAAAAAACCAAAAAAAAACAGAGAGTAGAGTTCTCTGACTCCCAAATACAATCAGGAGATAAAAGTAAAATGGGAAAATCTTGAAAAGGACAAGACTGTTCCCCTGTAATGACTGACAGGAGGCAAATGTTTACAAAGAGAAATGTGTAGAAAATTTAATCCTAAGGGCAGAGTCTTGTGTCAAATATTTAAGACCATAAAATGTGGGAGTTATTCCATATGCCATGTGATTGTAAATGGGCAGCCGCATCTTTTTATGATTATCTTGGTTAGCAGACATAAACCAAGAATGAGAAATCCTGATATAGCAATTACAACCCAGCAGCTTCTCTAGCTGAGGATGTGTGGGGAATGGGGAGAGGACTGTAGAGGTCAACTGACTATTTTCATGGAATTCATACAAATGGAGAGACGGAAAAACTGCACAACTCTCTGCTAGAGTAGAGAGAAAAAATTTTCTCTTCGTGTGAGATGACAAAAGCATGTGACCATCTTGAAGGAAAAATGACTTTGTCTTTCTCATTTTCTCTCCTATGAAAGAGGCATTTGTGTGAGGAAATTAAACAAATGCAGCACTGAATCATTTATAATGATCTCTGAGATTCTTTTTCCATCTATACCCAAATAAGGGTGAATCTTGGATTTCAGGAATTCATGTTTTGGGTTACCATGATAATTTTCATACTTGTATAGAGCCTTGTTTTATGCAGGGTTTGGTGTCTGAAAAGGCTACAAGTTACACCTTATAGAAAAACAGTTCACCATCTCTCAAACACTGACATCATAACTGAAAGTACCTAGTTCCCTTCATAATCCAACATGGCCCTAACCTTCTCAGCTGCCACATCTATATCATGTGATAACTGGGTAAGATACCTGGAGTCCATGAATTTAGTTCAAAACCACTTTCCCTGTCCCAAATCATCCTAACATCTTTCGTCCTCTAGCTTGAGTTTTGTTTCCATCTCCTCTGCAAAATCTCTCTACCCTATGTCTTATCTCCTTTCAACAGATTGTGATTTTCTATCCTAGCAGCCAAGAAAGGGTAAGTCTAAGCTATAGACTTCCAACTTTCCTCTCAGGTGTATTATTGCCTTTCTGCCAAAAGTAGTCCACACAACATAAGAAAAGGCATTTATATCCTTATTCTGATCTTTTCTAGAGGTAATAAGTAGAGCTTGTTTGGTGTAGAATTTTAAGTGTATAAGAAAGGAAGTAGAAGAGAAACATCTTGTTTTTCCAACACTCTTCTTAGTAATGTTTACTGTCTGGCTGACTTTTCTGATTCCAGCTGGTCAATGGATGGAACATTAAATAAATAAATCCTAAACCCTTTCCTAGATTGTGACAACTACTTTAGCTTTGGTCATTTATGACAAAATCAGGTCCATTTCTTCTGCATAAATTCACATACACTTAATGAAATGTGAGTTAACACTTTTGGCCACTCTGTGTCCCTAGTCATCCTCTGGTTCGTTGACATCTGATCAACATTTGACCTTGCATCTGTACACTGAAAATTCTGAGAGCCTTTTCTCTTTTATATGATAATTTCTCAGGTTGCTCCAAATTTGTTTTGACTTTTAAAAGCTAGACTGTGCGTGGGACAGATTCCAGTCCTTTGGTCAACCGGTCAAGTAACTCGAGTTTACCGAGAATGAACATGAAGGGGCAAGGGACTGTGGAGATCAGGACGACATGCACATCTGACCAGCTTGTGGAGGCTGGAAGTGTGAGTCACGGGTTTTGGTTCACACGGAGCCTCTGCGTGTCTGATGAGGGATATAAATAACATTGACAGCTCAGATGTTCCCCAGACACAGTGTTCCTATAAAATTAAAATTGCATAATTCGGTCAGTAGGTGCACAGGTCCATCCCACCTCTCCCTTGTGGCTTAGCCTCACCTCTTCTGTTCATAAGTTTACTAGATCCTGTTTACCCACCACTCACCAGTTTAAAAACGATTTGAGAGTCGCAACCTCTCCCCTAGCCTTTTCTCCGAGGATAATTTTTTAAAAGGACACATTTTCTAACACAAACAAACAGAAGCCAGGCATAGTGGCACCTACCTGTAATCCCAAAGAGTTGGAGGCTGAGGCAGGACTAAAAGTTTAGTCCTAGCAAGACCTTGTCTCAAAAGAAAAAGGCTGGGGCTATAGCTCAGCGGTAGAGTGCCCCTGGATGCACTCCACAGTACCGCAAATCAAACAAAACAAAACAACCAGAAAATGAACTATTAGCACATAATTATCAAAACAGCACTGAGCAGCTTCTGTGGTTTAAACCGCCTAGTGTCTGGTTGCTCCTGACCTGAGCGTTTTCACTTGTTCTGGCCCCACCTAGAAAGCACTCCTTCCCTTAGAGGCATTTTCACCTATCCTCCACTGTCTAACGGTCTCCATTAAAGAGAGTAAAAACAAAGTGTGGGTGAGGTAGTGGTTAAGAGCGGGCTCTAGGCTTACCTGGATTGAATCTCATTTACATGTGACCTTGGGCAAATTTGTTGACCTATTTCTATGTTTGGTTTTCCTGAGCTTTAAAACGGAAATAACCGAGCCTGCCTGGCAAGCGCAAGGTCGTGAGTTCGATCCCCGGTACCGCAAAAAAAAAAAAAAAAAAAAAAAAAAGAAATAACCCAACAACCCCTCATAGGGCTGTTCAGAGGATAAAATTAGCCAATATGAATAAAATCCTTGGAATCATGTAGTACTGAGCAAGTAGTAATGATTGTTACTGGTAGTATTTTTAAAAAGGTAACTATGTCAACCACTGCATTCCTGAAACCTACAAACTACCTCACGTTCGCTTATATCCATTCCTCCATCTTCCCGTTATCCACAGAGAGCCTCCCAGTTTGTCTAAGCCCAAGTCCCCACACTGCGTTTCAGCCAGATCCCACAATCCCCTGCTTCCTCAGCGGCCTCCTGCTCCTGCCACTCGCCTTCTTTTCCTCCTACACCCTCAGTCCCATCAAGTCACCTCTTCACCACAGCTTCCCTCATTCACACGAGACACACTTTCTCATTCTAAAAACCAGTGACCTCTCTTAACTCCTCCCCCTTTTAATTCTATTGTCTCTCGTCAAGTCTGCAGAAGCAAAATGCCTGAAAGCACCTCTACTCAGCCACTCCCTCTCTGCCTGCCAGTCCTGACCCCTGCAGTCTGCCCCATGGTTCCCCCTCCAACCCAGCTGCCCTCCCCAGCATCCAGTCCTTCTCACTAAACCCAGCAACACTTCCCCAGCCTTTACATTATCGGAGTTCTTGGCAGCATCAGACACGGCCTCCTTCCAGCAGCCTCTTCCCTCAGCCTCTCTCACTCCACACTTTAAATTTTCCACCAGACTCTCTCTAGTCACTTCTTCCCAATTAAAATGGTGGGTGCACTTCTTTTGCCTGTAATTTGTGTTCATTCGCGACTCTGCTTTGGTTTCTTTTTCTGTCAGTATTTTCTTTGCACTTCTTGCTTTCGGTGAGCCGTCTATGAAACTTTTCTTCACTTTGACAGCACAAAGATCTAATTCTAAATTATCCTATATCATGCTATTGTTTTATGATTTACATTTAACTCTGAATCCCACCAGAGCTGTGGCTTCAATATAGTGAGAGAAAAGGGAAATTTTCATTTTTCTTTATTCCACCGACACAGCACCATGTAACAAAAGGCCATCTTTCACTCACTGCTGAGTTGTGCCGCTGTTCCCGTAAACACGGGTGTGTGTCTGTTCCAGGCCTCTGTTTGTTGCATGATCTATGTGACTGCACTTGTGCCAGTACCACACTTTATAATATGTCCTGATAAAAAAGAAAGCAAGTTTTTCCACCTTTTTTCTTCTTCAGAAATTTTGTTGGAATTTTAAAATTCATATTGGAATTT